CCTAAATGACGTTCCTTGGAATCGAATGGGGATTAGATTCCACCTCTTGCTCCCCTTTTCTTTCTTTTTGGTGGTACTGGGGCACTCTACCACTGAGTTACACCCCCAGCTCTTATTATTTTTTATTTTTTTTTTTTAATATTTATTTTTTAGTTTTCGGCAGACACAACATCTTTGTTGGTATGTGATGCTGAGGATCGAACCCGGGCCGCACGCATGCCAGGCGAGCGCGCTACTGCTTGAGCCACATCCCCAGCCCATTATTTTTAATTATTTATTTTTAATTTTGACACAGGGTTTTGCTATGTTGCTTAGTGCCTCACTAAGTTGCTGAGGTTGGCTTTGAATTTGTGATCCTCCTGCTCTTGAGTTTCTGGGACTATAGGAATGTGGTAACATGCCCAGTTTACCCCTATTAATACCTATTCTGCATTCTATAACTAGAGAGATTTTTTTTTTCTAAGTCATCTTCTTATTTGTGTGTGTGAATGTATGTGTGTTGCTAGAAATCAGATCCAGGGTGGGCTGGGGTTGTGGCTGAGCAGTAGAATGCTCACCTAGCATGTGCGAGGCCCTAGGTTCAATCCTCAGCACCAAATAAAAATAAATAAAACAAAGGTATTGTGTCCAACTACAACTATTACAAATAATCCTGCAATAAACAACTGAAAAAATAAATATCTGAAAAAGAAAAGAAATCAGACCTAGGTGCTAGTTAGGTGCCCTACCTTTGAGCTACATTCTCAGCTCCTTATTTTTTATTATTTTAAATTGATGCATTAAAATTTTAATTTTGAGACAGGGTCTCGCTAAGTTGTTTAGGCCTCACTGAGGTTACTGAGGCTGGCTTTGAACTTGCAATCCTCTTGACTCAGCCTCCCAAGCTGCTGGGATTACATGCGTGTGATGCTGCGCCCAGCTGCCTGATAAGACTTTTTTAAAAAATAAAAATATAGCCAACATGCCTGTAATCCCAGCAACTTGGGGAGACTGAGGCAGGAGGATAGCAAGTTCAAGGCCGACCTGGGCAACTTAATATGAACCTGTCTCAAAATAAAATTTAAAAAGGCTAGGGATGTAGCTCTGTGGTAGAGTGCCCCTGATTTCAATCCCCCGTACTACAAAAAGAAAAAGACATGATCCTGGATCACCATGGCACACACGTATCATCCCAGACACTCAGGAGATTGAGGCAGGAGGATTAAAAGGCCAGCCTGGACAACCTAATGAGACCCTTTCTCAAAAAAAGGCTGGGGATGTTGCCCAGTTTGCAAGGCCCTGGTTTTGATCCCCAGTATTCTCCTCTTGCCTGCTCTACACAAACAGCATGATCATGCCACTCTCCTGTTTAAAACTCTTCAGTGGCTTGTCAGTGCCTAGGATAGAATCCAGTGTCTTCATATAGGCTTTTACATGGGCTCTAGAGTGTTCATGCAGGTTCTGTCTCCTATCTACCTCTTCAGCTTTATTTCTTGCCAATCCCCACCAGTCCTTACCAGTTGTATTCTGGCCATACTGACCTATTTTCATGCCCTTTCTCTCTATAAGCTCTCTCTCTTCTCTAGGACTTTGCAAATGTTATCCCCTCTTCTAGGAACCCATTTTCACTTGTTTAACTTCCACTCACCCTTCAAATTTTTTAAAAAAATATTTTTAGTTGTTGATGAACATCTTTATTTATTTCCATGTAGTGCTGAAGATTGAATCCAGTGCCTCACATGTGCTAGGCAAGCACTCCATCACTGAGCTACAACCCCAGTCCTCACCCTTCAGATTTCAACTCAGACATCATTTCTACCAGGAAAACTTCCCTGAGCACAGTCGAAGAGATTGGGTATCTCTATATATGATTTCATAGGCTTTTTCAATGCCCAGGTCTCAAAATGATAAACAAAATACCCAAACACCTTGTAGAAGACACTGACCAATCTAAGGGCAACCTGAAGGAATGTTAGCTAGGTCCAAGGGGGTTCCTGGGTACCAAGGGTTAACCCATTAGTCATTGGACCATTGGTCCTGGGAAGGACCATCCCATAGAAATATCTAAAATTATTTTTTTCTTTTTTTGCAGTATTGGGGATTGAACCCAGGCATGTTTTATCCTGAGACACATCCCCAATGTCTTTTTATTTGGGGACAGGGTCTTACTAAGTTGCCATGGCTAGCCTCTAACTTCTGATCCTACTGACCCAGACTCCTGGGTAGCTGGAATTACAGGAGTACACAACCATGCCTGGTTGAATTATTTAATTTTTAGCATTAGTAGGGCCTGACCAGAATTTTCAAGCTTATTATTAAATCTGTCCATTTCTCCTTCCTCTCCCTTTTGTTCTTTTCTCCCCTAAAACAGAATCTAGATTTGAGCTGGAGGTGAAACAAGGACTGTGTGATCTCTTTGGCAAATGATGAAACTGAGACCCTTGGGAGGCAACAGATTAAAAACAATGATTGGCTTGTGAAGTCAAGTAGACCTGAATTTAAATTTTGCCTATGCAATTGTGTTTTTAGTTCAGATACTAACATGTCTGAAATATAGCTCTTTTACCTGCACATTCCTCAGAGACTGCTATGAACATTAAATGAACGCACCTGTTACAGTGTCTGACTCATACATAGTAGGGAATAATTAGTAGGGAGCTGATTAGATGAGGATCAAGGTCAGTTAATCAGTAGCAGAGTCTGTTTTTTCCCCCCTGAGATGGGGGCTTATTATGTTGTCCAGGCTGGCATTAAGCTGGATTTAAATAATCCTCCCACCTCGGTACCCCAAGTAGCTAGAACTACAGATGTGTACTACTGTGCCTGGAAGAATTAGTGTCTTGATACTGAGTCTACCTCCTGAACTCTTATTGACATGGACTACTACAGTGAACACAATATCAGGGGTCCTGAGGTCTCAGAAGGAGACATAGGGAAGTTTCCTTTCCTGTGCTCATTCCTTTTTTTTCCCCCTAGTTCCTGATCACTGAGTAGGAGTGAAGGCAGATTAGTGACCTCTTCCATTTTCAAGCTTTGAATTGAGATCACTTAGGATCTGACTTGGAAAAGTTAGGATACAGAGAAGATTTGCCTGGTCTGACCTCCAATTACTGATTGCAAACATCATGTAAAGAAAAAATGCTAGGCCTTGGGGATGACAGTCCACTAAAAAGAGTGCTTTTCAAACTGTAGGTCCTGACTTGTTAGTGGGATGTGAAACAATCAGAACTGAGGAGACAAAATAGGAGAAAATAGAAAATATCACAGTGTACTATACATAGAAGGGTAAGTACTAATGTTGCTTTAGTTATAGTTATAAACATGTGTACTGCGTCATGATTTAAAGTGTATTACTATGGATTTCATCAAAAAATGTTTGCAAGTCCCTGCATTAGAAAGCCTAATGTCTGGCATTTATAAGTGACCTACAAATAAATTATTGAATAAGTGAATGTCTTAAATTACCATTTAGTGGGCTTTTGTTTTCGTACTGGGATTAAACTCAGGGGTGCTTTACCACTAAGCTATATCCCCAGCCTTTTTATTTCTATTTTGAGACAGGTTGTCCAGGTTGGCCTTAAACTTGAGATCCTCCTGCCTCAGTATCCTAAGTCACTGGGATTACAGGTGCCTAACTTACTTTTCAAGTATCTTAGTCATACCAAGAAGTGTGTGTTGATTAAACATAAAAACAAAACCAAAGCAAAACAACAAAAACACTGACCTGGGAACCTGGGAGCTCTGACACAAAACATGATTCTGTAAATAGCTTGTTAATGTGTGAAGGTGGGGAAAATCTCTTTTGATCAATTCTCTAATTTTAAAACCAGGAATGCTCAAACAAGCTCTGCTTGCCACATAGGACTGTTGTGAAAACTGTGAAGACCAGATGAGATTGTTTCAGAGTGTTCTGCAAACTGTGATGCAATACTGGTCAAAAGCAAGGGTTTAGGAACTGGGGTTGTGGTTCAGTGGTTGTGGTTCAGTGATGGAGCACTTGCCTGTATTCGTGAGGCTCTGGGTTCGATCCTCAGCGCCACATAAAAATAAATAAAAATAAAGATGTTGCACCTAATACAACTAAAAAAATATATTTAAAAAAACCCAAGGGTTTACCCAGTTGAAGTAAGTATGGCTCTTTTTATTGGTTTAATCAACTAATCAGAAAATATTTATCAGGATTCTAATGTTATTGAGGGCTATTCTCTCCAATGCCCTCCCGTCTTAGATGTTTTTCCACCTATTCTAATAAGAATAATATAGAATGTAAACTCCACGAGATTATAGTGTTGGGCTGTTTTGTTTAGCTCCATCTCCTTACTTGTGCAAAACAGGTGCTCAGCAGATATTTTTGAATGAAGAAAGGGAAAAAAATTAATCGCTGCCCTTCAAGACAATTAAATTTGAGGTGAAACAACATACAAATACCCACAAGGCACCCAGGCAGGTCACCTGTAACAGGTGCCAAAGAAAGGGTAGGGCCTGAGAACACAGCTAGCTCTTGCGGAGCACCGCAAAACACAACTCCCTCCTTTAAGCGAAAAAGTCAGGAACACACAGAAGTAACCATCCACAGCTAGTAGCTGGTACAAAACAGCAAAGAGTCCTGGGAGGATCTACTTCAAGAAAGGACAGTGTGAGCTGTACTAGCGAAATAAATCTTTCCGGAGCTGAAGCTGACACTGGGCTTGGTGGAAAAGTAATGCAAAACAGACCAAGTCTTGGGGAAAATATTTTAGGCAGTTTTGAAAATGCGTAGAAACCTATGCCTCTTGTGGAAAGATTGCCAAGGTGAGTCGACCTTGAGTTAGTGAGCGTAGGCAGAAAAAGGTTTCGGGGAATGGTTTCACCGTCCAGCCTCCGAGCGTCCGACCGAGGGAACAGACCCTGTTTCGATACAATACCTGTACATATTTGGTTTTCCTCCAGTAGAGCGATAGGGGTGGGGGTAGAAGTCTAGGGCGTCTGGGCGGGGCCACGCGGGCCCTGCCCTCAAGGACTGGAGGCCAGGCGAAGGGGCGGGGCTTCCGGCGGCAACGGCACTTGGGCGTCGGGTGACGCCGGGCGGGCGGATCGTCACGTGACACGGAAGTGACTCCGAACAGGAAGAGGACGAAAAAAATAACCGTCCGCGACGCCGAGTCAAACCGGACCCGCAGCCACCATGAACAGCAAAGGCAAGGACTGGGGGCGGCTGGGGCCGTCGCGGGGGTAGTGCGGGTCGGGAGCGAGCGGATTCGGAGCCCAGGGTCAACAAACGCCAGTTCTGGGACGGGCTGCGCCGCGCCCCTCGGCCGGCCGCAGTCCTGGGGGCAGCAGCTGACGCCTTCGTCATTGCTTAAGTACCGCTGCTCGCTTCGTCCCAGTCCTTTAGCTCTTAAACTCTGTGGCGCAGTTTGGAGCTGCGGGCTCCGATGTGTGGGGGGGCCTTGTCATGATGGACATCTTCAGGAGCAAATGGGGAGCTAGAGCAGGGATTAGGGTGGGCCAATGGAGAGCTGGCAGAGGCGGGGCGCCCCGCTTAAGAACAACAGGCAGGGCACCGGGCTTAACTAGTGAAGTGCCGGTTGGTGGGCGGCCGGGGCCTACAAGGACCCTTTCCCCCTTTCTTGCGCATTCTTTGCCCTTCACTGGCGAGGCTAGAATTTACCCCTGCCCCTGTGATTGTACCAATGAATTTGTCAGAACATGATCCCTTTCACTTTTTCTCGGTCTCAGGGTTCACTTCCATTCACGTACTCTCTTTATTTGGAAGTCGACCTTGAATAAGAATCTGCGAGGCAAATAATTAGAACTACCGTTACTCATAAAGTCTGGGGTGGTTACAGCTGGGCCTGTGAAGACTACTCCAAGAGCAGAAGCACCCTAGATACATCAACAGTCCAGAACCTCAGGAACGGGTCCCCAGATTTGTCCTGCATTCCGGAGGGGGCCCGTTTAGACTTTTCCCTTACATCAGTATGCTAGTGGGAACAGCGCCTTTCCTGTCCAGTCAGAACCCAGCACCTTCCATTTATATAGATACAAACACAATGCTTATTTTCTTGGCTTCAGAAGTCAAGCCCTCTGGAGTAGTCTATAAATCTTCTGCTTGCTTCCACTAAGTTAGCTGTAGGGTATGTCTTGCTTAATTTTGGTAGCTCTGTATAGTAGGCAACCTATATTTTTTCTTGTCCTCCAGGTCAGTATCCAACGCAGCCAACCTACCCAGTGCAGCCTCCTGGGAATCCGGTATATCCTCAGACCTTGCATCTTCCTCAGGCTCCACCCTATACTGATGCTCCACCTGCTTACTCAGAGGTACTTTGAGTTTATCAAACTTGAATTGGTTGAGAATACTGTTGGACCATATTTTCAGTCCTTAAGTCTGCTCTTAGAAACAGAAGTGTCCACATGAGTAATCTAAAACAAAATCCAGCAATTTGTTGGAGTTGAGACTGCATTATCTGACTATCTTATGTTATTCAGCAAGTTATTCTGCACAGGTTGCTGTTAAGAAGATGAGTTTTTGGGCTTTTAGCCTAACACTGGCTATCGCAGGAAATGATCCAGAATATTGAATGCCAGTGGAAAGACAACTTGTATAACATAAAAAGTGTAATCTGCATATGGAGAGTTAAGAATTGACTTGATAAAGAGATTTCAAGTAGACATGTCACAGAGTAACATTTTGCTTTCTCTTCTGCCCCTTTTAGCTCTATCGTCCGAGCTTTGTGCACCCAGGGGCTGCCACAGTCCCTACCATGTCAGCTGCATTTCCTGGCGCCTCTCTGTATCTTCCCATGGCCCAGTCTGTGGCTGTTGGGCCTTTAGGTTCCACAATCCCTATGGCTTATTATCCAGTTGGTCCCATCTATCCACCTGGTTCAACAGTGCTGGTGGAAGGAGGGTATGATGCAGGTGCCAGATTTGGAGCTGGGGCTACTGCTGGCAACATTCCTGTGAGTATGACCTTATCAGAAGAAACTCAGCCCATATATTTTAACATTTTGCAGTGACTTCATTCTCTTATCATCCTAAGATAATCATTGCCAGTATTAGTGCAACTATTGCTATCTGATAGGCACAAAGTGGTCAGGGGGCAGTAGAACTGTGGCAAGTGATGAGCATCTGGCACATTCACTGGGATCTGAGTTAACCAGATTGCTTTGTTTTCCTGCCTTATGAGTCCTGCTTGCTGCTTTTCCAGTTATTTTGGTACAGCAAACTAGTCGAGTAATGCTCTTCATTCATTCCATAAGCATTCACTTGATATTTGCTATCAGCATGATATTGTATTAGGAACTGGCTGATTAAAAAAGTAGAATGCATAATCCCTAAAAAGTAGCTTTTAGAAAGACAGGGATTTTAATTTTCAGTGTCTCCTGCTTAGTTCCCCAGTGCATGGGATTTAGAGCCCACATGGTCTTTGCTAAGGCCATCTACTCAGGAACATATGCTAGAGATGAAGTGGAAATAGTGTCATTAGCAAACCTTTAGTTAGTATAGTGGTCTGATTAAAAACTAGAGGGCTGGGATGTAGCTCATTGGTAGAGTGTAGGTTTAGGTGTGCAAAGCCCCTCAGCACCCCCAAAACACAACTACCTAGGGATCCTGTGAGATCTGTCCCTGTTTTGGGAAAATGAATAGGAGTGATTTTCTACCCTGAAAATTATTTGGGGGCTGGTATCCATAGGCTTAATCTTGGAGCTAGAACTCTTTGAATGAGTGATAGACTCCTTTCCTGTTTGCGTCTTGGGTTCACAGAGAAAATACACCAGCTTTAGAACTCAATGTGGTGGCAGCACTAGCTCCTTAAACGCTATTGGTTAGCACCCTGCCATCTTCTTAAGGTACTCTGCTTCACCCATGTCTTCTTCCCTTTGCCCATTCTACCTGTCCTTTCCTTTCAGCCTCCGCCTCCTGGATGCCCTCCCAATGCTGCTCAGCTTGCAGTCATGCAGGGAGCCAACGTCCTCGTAACTCAGCGGAAGGGAAACTTCTTCATGGGTGGCTCAGATGGTGGCTACACCATCTGGTGAGGAACCAAGGCCACTTCTGTGCCGGGAAAGACATCACATACCTTCAGCACTTCTCACAATGTAACTGCTTTAGTCATATTAACCTGAAGTTGCAGTTTAGACACATGTTGTTGGGGTGTCTTTCTGGTGCCCAAACTTTCAGGCACTTTTCAAATTTAATAAGGAACCATGTAATGGTAGCAGTACCTCCCTAAAGCATTTTAAGGTAGGGGAGGTGTCCATTCATAAAATGAATGTGGGTGAAGCAGCCCTAAGGATCTTCCTTTAATTCCTCTGGAGTAATACTGTACCATACTGGTCTTTGCTTTTAGTAATAAAACATCAAATTAGGTTTGGAGGGAACTTTGATCTTCCTAAGAATTAAAGTTGCCAAATTATTCTGATTGGTCTTTAATCTCCTTTAAGTCTTTGATTTATATTTCTTGTTAAATGAAATGCATTAGTTGTCTGCCTCTTCCTTTCCATCCTCTGCCTCATGTGCCATCTCCAACCCTAGTCTTCCATTCCTCCCACCAATCTCCATTAAATCAGTGGTGCAGGACAGAAAGCCAGTCAGACTTGTTTCCTTCTCTCCTTGCACTTCTCTCCACTTGCCATCTTTTAACTCATCTTTCACAAGGATCCTCTGAAACCCTCTCTGTGCCCCAAGCGCATTGCTTCTGCTTTGGCATCTCCTCAGGCAAAACTAGAGGGTGCCTTTTGGACCCTCCTCATAGGTTGTCTCTGCATACACGAACCTGACTCAGTTTGCTTTGGTGCCAGAAAAACAGCTTTGTTTGAACAAAGGATATCAGTGCAAACTGTCCCATAAAAAAGTTTGTTTAAAATATGAGGGGCAAGGAGGAGGATGCATTTCAAAGGCTTGACTTTAGAGCCAAATTAAAGGGAGTTTTCAGATCAAAAATTGGTTACCATTTTTGTCAGTGTCTGATGCCACCACTCACAGCTCCCAAGAATTCCTAAACTGGTTAATAGGGTCATATTGTGAAAACTTCACTATAAAATGACTTGAGTCCAGTGAAATCTCATTAGGGTTAAGAATGTTTCAGGGATCCTTAATATTTTGATTTTTGTTTTCTGAAATTGGATTTTATTTTATCTTATAATTTCAGTTCATCTAAATTTTGTGTTCTGTACATGTGATGTTTGACTGTACCATTGACTGTTATGGAAGTTCAGCGTTGTATGTCTCTCTCTACACTGTGGTGCACTTAACTTGTGGATTTTTTATACTAAAAATGTAGAATAAAGACTATTTTGAAGATTTGAATAAAGTGATGAAGTTGCATTACACCTCACTCCAAGGATTCTTTACTTAGCTTGTTTTTAGATCTATTCTGCATATAACTTCTTTTATATCTCAGCTAGGTGCTGCTGCTGTTCTGTTTTCTTTTAAATAAATGCAGGAGTACAAGGCCAAGATTTGACTATTTTCATGAATTTCACTTTAGATGTTACACCTATTTTCACTTTATTACCTAAACAACTTTCATATTCTGGGATTCTGAACCTAAACTTACTAAGGGAACAAAATTGGTTTCTCCTTACTTACTCTACAGTTCAAATTGAGGAAAATGTCTTAGTATTGCAATCCCTCTATACATTCCGGGTGACCTTCAGTTAGTTTTCCCAAAGCTCTGTGTGGGGAAATACTGGAATCTAGGCTGCCAAGATTGGATTGATTGCTCAGCCTTTGGATCTTGGGTTGCTTGAGCTTGGACAATGAAGTCAATACATAAAGACCTTGAAGGAGGGCTAGCTTAATTCCAAAGTAAACAATATCTGAGGAGCAATAATTTATACCAAAATATTGTACCTTTTAAACACCTCATTTTGAAACTAAATTCAAGAAGCTTCTTAGATCGATTGTGAGGAAGCTGGTGGCAAAGGAGGTAGGTAGATTTTTCCTTGTTCCCTCTGTGCATACATATGAGATTTGGGACCTGCTGACTCTTGCCAACATGGAGACAACCAACTCATCTCCCACGGTATGTTTCTGATGATGCTCTTCTGGGACAAGCTTCCTGGACCATCACTGTCTCAAACTGCTGATATAGTTCTGGGAATTTCTGGAACTTCCCTAGGGTCCTTATTGTTTAGAACATATGCAAATGGTTAAACAGCAAAACAAAATGATGTCAAAAAAAAATTAAGCAAAGATAATTCAGAATGTAGTTACTCCTTGCACATGAAAACCTGATTTTTATATCAAAAAGTTTAATTTGGCTAAAAATAGCATAAGGTTGTTGGGGAACATGGAAAAGGGGGCTCAAACCAAGGGATGCAGCACATTTATCAGGAGGTAAGATCCTCTGAGTCTCCTATCCCTCCTAGCAGGCTTCTCCTATAATATTGAGCCTCTCAGAAGAAATTCTGTGGATATCTCCACTAGGGCTATAGCTAGGTGACCAGGTAAGGGGACAAGAGTATAGCCAGTGACACTCTTTTTCCTCCCTTCAACCTGTTAAGGCACATACTCAAATGTTCCCTAGCATAGCCCCACCTTGTTGGCAAGTCACAAACACCAACTCTATTACATGGCCTGGTTAAAAACAAGCAGTTTTCTCCATGTCCCTGGTCATGGACTGGGAGTTCAGTCCTGTTGGCATTTGGGCCTATGCCCTGGAAGGAGCTTGGAATTGCCCACATCAGTGTCACTCACTGGCTTCAGATAAAAACTTTCCCCTAATAAATAGTTGATGTGTTAGCCCTGGAGCTGGGAATTAGCTCCTTGGGGCTGAGAATCATTAGATGAAATACTCCTCCTTCTCTCTGCCCTTGGCTGAGTCACTCTCCATCTGGAGGATGGTGCTGGGCTCGCCTTCTGCAGGTTCGTAGGTGACGTAGCTGCCTTTGTTCTTGTACAGGTAAAAGAAGATCAAGATCACGACCGAGAGCAGGGTGAGGAAGACCACGGTGATAACAACTTGGAAAGGAGAGGGAAAATGGAGATGTTTCAGGATTGAGGACCTCTCAGGGGTTTACTGGGTCACCTGAATTAGATGATTCCCTCACTCCTCCTAAGAGTTCTCTTTTTTAGTTAGTTAATGTCCACTTTCAAATTCACATTCCCCCACCAAGTCCAACTTCCACGGTCCATGGTACCCATGGTATCCAGGATCTCCTATTTCTAAGGAGGCAAAGTTTTTTTTTGGAGATAGGGCAGTATTAGGGATTGAACCCAGGGACACTATATCACTCAGCTACATTCCCAACCCTTTTTATTTTGAGACAGAGTCTCACTAAGTTATTGGGGGTCTTGTTAAGTTGTTGAGGCTGGCCATGAGACTGCATTCCTCCTGCCTCAGTGTTCTGAGTCAGCTGTACCACCTTGCTCAGCAATGACACAATGCTTTTTGTTTTTGACAAAACTGAATGTCCCTCCCAAACCAGTTCCTGATGATTATGATGAAAATGGGAAGGAAGGAAGTAAACATGTTATCCCAACAGGAAGGGTGTTTTTAAATCCGTAGCTTCCGGCAGAGTTTCTCTGATCTTTCCCTTTTCTTCACTCACTTAACAAACCATATATATCCTCATTCCTACCCACGTACTTGAGTGTAGTGTCCATATGCACCAATGCCTATTTGTGGTCACCTCCCAGCCTAGCATTTACCAGCAGTGCTTCTGACAGAAGTTTTTTACAGCCATGTGAGTGCAAGAACCTATATGCCAGAATGAGCCCATTAATGGATTTGGTCCCTGATGTTGTGGTGTTTTTCCTAGTTCTTGGTTCATCCCACCAGGTTACAGGCTGCTCTGGAGCAAGAGGGCACTTGATCCCAGCGGTCCTTTGGATTTGGCTCAGAGCCTTTGTTACCTGCAATAAGTGCTGTGCTGGCTTCTTCAGCTTCTGGGGACAGGGCCTCAGTGGCCTGCAGAAGCGGGGTGGTCAGTTCTGGAAAGTTCAGAAAGTGGAAAAGAAAATGGTGTAAATTCTTTTGTTCTAAAGCATATTTGTCCCTCAAATTTCATTACCTCACCTTTTCCCCTATTCAAAAGTTATCATTCAGCTCTTATAGGAAATCTGAATAGAAAAACTTGGAGAACAGAGAAAAAAATAAACTGCTTCCCAAAGACAATGAATCTTTGCTTAGGTCAGTGGTTAAGAGAATGGGCTTTTGAGCCTGACTCACTGGGTTTCAAATGTGAGCTCTGTTCTTTACTAGCTGTATGACCTTGGAAAAATTACTTAACCTCTCTATGCATCAGTCATTTCATATTCAAAAGGCAGGTAATAATACTTTATAGGGTTATTGTGACATAGTAACAGTAAGGATAAGTCATTATTAAGAACGTGTATGTGTGTGTGTGTGTTTTGGCAGTTACTGGAAAATGAACCGGGGGCGCTTTGCAACTGAACTATATCCCCAACCCACCCTACCCCCAACTCAGACAAGGTCTGAGTTGCTCAGGCTGGCCTCAAACTTTCAATTCTCCTGCCTCAGCCTCCCAAGTGGCTAGAATTATAGGCATATGCCAATTTTACATGTTGGCAAGAATACATATTTTTACATCAGTGAAATCAAATGATGAGCATATGTACCTGTATAGCTATTTATATTATAGTATCATAGTATGTACATTCTTTTCAGGGTTCATTTTTTAAAAAAATTTTTTAGTTGTCAATGGACCTTTATTTTATTCATTTATTTATATGTGGTGATGAGAATCAAACTCAGTGCCTCACACATGCTAGGCAAGTGCTCTTTATAATCATTTTTAATTAATAAAATAATGACCCCCACCCTCATTGAAAACCCTTTTCTGTATTTCCAGGATAGGCTGTATACTTTAAAAGGCTCTGAAACAGGCCTCTCCTGTCCTAAAATCTATCCTGCACCCGCTTCTGTAGTGCTCCATTTATCCTTCAGAGCTTGAAAACTCCAGCTAAGTCATTACCAGAATTGGGGCATAATAAAACTGTAGCCTCCAGAAGTCCCTTTAAAATGTTTCCACAGGAAGTCAAGAAGCCCTTCAATTCTTTCTTAATTAGTATTTTAATGTAACGGCTTGAAAAGGTAACAATTAAGTAGAGGTTACTACAGGTTAGAGTTTGTCCAGCAAAGGCACCTGGCTGACCCTGGAATCACCCTGGTGTTCATTCAATAAATAACCACAGCAGCACTCTAGACCATCCACACTTGGCCAGGTGGAGGAAAGCAGACAGGGAGAGCTTCACAGAGCCTACCCTCCACCACACCCACAGTTTCCACAGTTCTGAACTACAAAAAGCATAACAAAGGAAATCCCACATTTAAAAAAGCATTTGGTAGAGGGACCTAATGCAGTCTTCCAGCCAGGTGTGACTTCCCAAGGAAGTAATATTTGAACTGAGAGTTGAAGTAGGGGTAGGAGTTCGCTGGGTATCAAGGATAGGGCACATTGTAAGCAGAGAGAATAGCCCGGATTAGAGCTCTGAGACTCAAAGGCCAGAATGGCTGGCACAGAGTATGAGCATGTTCCTGCCCAGTGCCTGACACCTTCAGGTTTCCATCCAGGGCAAATGAAATTATGTCAACAATAGTGACTTGTGAGCCTGTGCTAAGAGGAGTCAAGAGTCTTGAGGGTTCTTTTCACACAGGCCAAGGGGGAGCTTCATGAACAGTTCTGGTCCTGTAACAGAGAAAGCAGAGGTAGGCTGCCTAGGGTGCTTCCTCTTCCTCTTCCAAAGGCCAGGCCAAACCCTGGCCAGGACATACCATTAGAAATGGTAGTGTCCTCAGTCACCTTTTGACTTTGATTTGTTCATTCACATCTATTATCCACGGAAACTATACCAACCAACTTTGCAAGGCTATTATGTGGACTAAATGAGAAAACATGTAAGTATCATTATAATAGGTACTACTTAAAGTATCATTTAAGGTAACTATATGCTTAGTGATTAAAAGGAAAAGCTGTTTTGGGCTTGAATCCTGCCCAGCCAATTACAGGATGACCTCAAGGAAGTGTGTGCAAGAATCTATATGACAGAATGAACCCACTAATGGAGTTGGTCCCTGATGTTGTGAACCTCAGAGGTTTCTTCATTTGTGAAATGGGAATGGGGTGGGCAGTTTCTAGGATGGGTCCTGAAGATCCTCACCTCCTAATACTGACACCATGTGTATGGGCTTCTCTAGTGTGTGGGATGGATCCAGTGACTTGCTTCTAATGAATAGACTGTGGCGAAAGTGATGGGATGTCATTTCTGAGACTAGGTTTCATAATCCTGAGTTCTACCAAAAAGAGGTCCTGAAGATTTTCTACTTGGTCATTACCTCAGACTGCCTCCTCTCAACAGGTACTTTCCTCCCTAAAAATCTCCCAGGCCCACACTCCATATTCCCACCATTGATCCAAAAAGGCTGCTTCTAGTTTTGCCTTCCTTAAACATATACAAATTTAAGATACACAAACACTGAGAATGTTAATGTATGTTTGAGGTCTAAATATAAAGATGAGTCATTTCACTTCAATTAATCAACAATATACTCTGCACCTACCATGTGCCAGAGACATTGACATAGAAGCTGAGAATGTACCTGTGATGAGGTCAACCAGAGACTAACCATGGAGCTGAATTTTAGTATGTTTTAGAGAACAGATACAGAAGAATCCCTGGAAAGAGAATCTGAGAGGGAAGGTAATTCCTGTTTGGGAAATTCTGCAAATGAACCCAATTATAAAACTGCCAGTTACTAAGACCCTAATTTGTGCTAGGTACTTTATATACATTATTATTAATTAACACCATCACTTCAAAGTGGGAGTTTCTGTTTGCAGATGTGGACCCTGAGGCCCAAGGAGAGTTAAGAGGCATGACTCATATTCCACATGAAGTAACAGAGATGGACCAAGATCTGAATCTAGGACTACTTATCTCAAAGCCCAAGCAAAATATTCATGCCAAATGCTTCTACTACTGTCCTTTTTTTTTTCCCAATAGTGAAACGTAACTATAAGGCAACACAAACTTTCCAAAATGTTTAAGGGTTTAAAAGGGATGGATACAGGTGGGCTGGGGATGTAGCTCAGTGGCAGAGCACTTGCGTAGCATGTACAAGGTCCTAGGTTTGATCCTGAGTGCTTCCAGGAAAGAGAGAGTGAGTGAGAAAGAGAGAGTCGGGAGAGGTATGGATACCTATAAGAAAAGCCAGATTACAATCAAATACAGATTTAAAGTGAACTTGATCATAGGTGATTGGTCAGGAGAAGATAATGTGCATACTGGTGTAATGTGGACAGCATGTTCATTCATATACAACTTTCCTAGCTTTAGTTCTTGACCTGAGCAGAGGCAAGCTTTCTCACAACTAGAAAAACCTTTTGTGTGGTGGGGAGGCAGGGGAGAGGTGGTACTGGGGAATCAAACCCAGGGTGTTCTACCACTGAGCTACATTCCAGCTCTTTTATTTTAGAGACAGGGCCTCACACTAAATGTCCATATTGGCCTAAAACTTGTGATCCTTCTGCCTCAGGAGAACATTTTATCAATATAGGAAGACCTTGAGAGAAAAAAAAATTCAATAGAATGCCTTCTTTGGATATAGTTGGTTTCCACTTATATTATTCCATCTGTAGAAGCAGTAAGCACAGATGAGGGAAGTGAAAAGCAATTTACCTTGAAACTAAAATAATGAGTTAATGAAGAAGACATACCTTCCTCAGATATTTTATTTTTATTTAAAAAATTTTTTTAGTTGTAGATGGACATGATACCTTTTTTTGTTTATTTATGTTTTTATATGGTGCTGAGGATTGAATCCACTACCTCACACATACTAGGCATGTGCTGTACCACTGAGCTACAACCCCAGCCCTCAGATTTTCATTTTTAATGAAATGGTCAGTACTAGAAGCAAAGTCTCTCTGGAATCTACATCTAGAAGAAGGAAGCACCCAGCCCTGGCTGCAAAGGACTGACTGGGACTCAAGGTTCAAATGCTAGTGGGGACTGAACTCTGCCAATATTTTTACTGGGGTTGTTATATTTGATCAGAGCGCTGGTTGCAATGTTCTGTAAGAATTGTGCTGTGTGCCCCACGGCTATTTTTTCCTGAAGTCCTTGTTCAATAGTGTAATTTCAGAATGAATCTTTCAAAAAATATACGTAATGTTTTCCAGCAGAAATGCCTACATTAGAGGATGCCAGAGACTTAGAAGAATAGTGTCAGGAAGCTATATGTAGTTCAAAGTTGCAAACAAATTTGAAGGACAATTTCAAAAACATTGTATTTGGAATCAGAACATGGAAAGAGCTAGACTTGATGTTTGGGACTGAAGATGTCAGGTTGGAGGTAGGAGAAAGCAGAATTCCCTCAGCACTTTTTGGCCTCTGTTTCCTATCAAAGAGAATGATTTTTACACTATGGAGCAGTAGGAGCCTTGGGGAATGGAGAAGTGAGATCGAGAAAAAGGAAGCTTCCCATTATTTAAAGTGCCAGGCCAATCTAAAAGGGGTCCAGAGACATGTCAAGGGATCTGACAGCTTGTAAATAGCATCTCTGTTGGTAACATAGGAGCTTCTGAGGAAGAGAAAGGGGCCAGACCTGAAGGACTGAGGATTGAACCCAGAGGTGCTATACCACTGAGCTACATTGATTTTAAGACAGGGTCTCATTAAGTTGCCCAGATTGGCCTTAAACTTGTGATTCTCCTGCCTCAGCTTCCCAAGTTGCTGGGAATACAGGTGTGCACCCTGCACTTGGCTAGAAGGTGGATTCTGTAATAACTAGTGAGCTTGACGGGCTTCCCCAGCAACATTCTGGAACAAGTTATTAGGGCCTGCTTCAGGGGCCTTGAACTCTGAAGAGCAATCATTAAGGGTAAGTATGGGACCACCAAGAGCAGGCTGGGGCAGGCAAGCTGTGTAGCCTTCTTAGACTGAGATTCTAGGATTGTAGACAGAAATTA